TCTTATTTTTACAGCTTGATTTACAAAGGCTCTATTTGCCTTTATCATCTTCATTGATATTTTTCTTTATTCAATCCCCAACAACCGGCAATTGAACCCAGGGCCTCACACATGCTGGGTAAAAGTGCTCCTCCACTGAGTTATACCCCCAGCCTGACAAATCTCCTAAGTGTTCAACAAAATGCTGAGGAAGGCTTCCTATTGTGTCTACTTTGCAACAACTGGTCCCATCCGTTATTCCCTCCTCTCACTGTCTTCCATTTTTGAATGTGACAAGGAGGGATGCATATTTGAATACCAACAAAGCTTTTAAAAACAGATGACAAACACCCACTTTAGATTTTTCAAGTCCCACAGTGGGCCCTGGCATGTATATCTTCCTATACATAACGTGAAATACCATGTGGAGCAGGTGCTCAATAAAAAGGTGTCCAAGGAATACGAGATAAATTATGTCCTAAATATTAAAACAGAATTTGAGCATTTTAACATTTAAAATACAGTGAGCTGCATTTAGCTATTATGTAAATTATAGTATCCTAGCTTTTTAAAATTTTTTTTAAATCATGCAGAGAGTAGAAACAAAAAATAAACGGATTTAGGATACCTCAGCCATACATGATAAATGAAATAAATACCACCTAAACATCTACCAGAAAACAGTTCAGGAAATAAGATTCCTTGGTTTAAGCACTCTGAGGACCATAGGACCCAGTGTCCTGATTCCACAAAAATGTCATACAATATTTCCAACAAATTCACTGAGTACTATAAAATCCCTACCAAAATAATATCTGTGGACAAACTAACTTGTCTTTCATATGCTCACATCAGGGCTTTTGACCATTCTCTAGCCAAATTGAGTCACCTCATGTGGTTTTCAGAAGCATTACCACCTGTGTGATGTAATATCTAGGCATTATTAAATAAATCAGTTTTTAATAAGTGCTGTTTAAATGGCAAGTGATCCTAATACTAATATACTACTGAATGTTAAAGTTTTGTGCCTTTGGACTGATGAATATCACATATAAATAAAATACCTAAGTGTATTTACCTTTTTATAGAGACAAATGTGAAGAATTAAAAAATGATAAGACATTATCAACATGTAGGCTTTGATAACATTTTTGAGATGGTCAAAGAACAAAAACAGTGAATCAAACCTTTACCAAGTGTGCAATTGTGAAGGAAAAGACATTTACAAAATGTCTAGACTGAATTTTTGCATATTTTTTCTGAAATCTGAAAAGGTACCACTATAGATTTTAGAACTTAATTCTGTGGGAACAGAAATCCTTAATCTGTTAAGTCTCGAATTTCCTTTTCAGTTGACTTCATGCATATGTCCCCTTTGAGACTATATCCTCTGGCAGTGATGAGAATATACAGAATGGCTCAGCTGAATTTATCAATGTACAGACTAAAAAACTGAATTACCTAATATGTTATCAAAAATTAACAATGAGGGCCTCTTCCAGAGAAATTGGTGAGTCAGTATATTATTACCATCTTCAGGTTTCCCAGACTTACTTGTCTTCCCCAAGTACCACACCAAATCCAGCATGGGACACTCGAGTTACTTTAGGGTCATACCAACCAATCATCTGAGCAGCAGCAAATATTACCTGGAAGTGCATAGACTATAAAAAGTAGAAAAAGAGTGTTACCTGCTAGTTTTCTAATAATTTTTTTAAAAAAGGGCTTATTAAGGCTTTTATGCCTAGATGATGCCTGTAAAACACAAGTCATTCAAATTTTGTGCCATGTTTCTTTTACTCATTATGTGAGAAACAGTAAGAGCAAAGCTGTTACCATACTTTCCACAAAGTTTTAAAAGCAAATGAATTAAAGGTCATTTACACACAGTAACTTCAATTAAATTTCAACCACATCCCTATTAAGACCAACTGCTGGGGTTCAAAGATATCACCTTTTCCATTTTTTAGAGAACACTTGGAAAACTGTTCCTTTTCTCACAATATACTGATGTTCCCGATCTTAGCACTGAACAACTGTAAATATTCCCCAAATACTATCAACCTCACCATATTGTCT